AGGGGATTTTTTTTAAAAAAGAAAAAAAATTCAAGTATTGGGATGATAGGTATGGCAAATACATAATCTCTGCCTTGATTAACATCTAGCACAAGGGTCTGTTCCCTCACTGCACTGCTTCAGATGAAGTCAGTGGAATAACTGTCTTAAGCAAACAGACAAACATTGACATTCTGTGATAAAAAGGAAAACATACACCAAAACTATAGATTCAAATGACAATCAAGGATGTGACAAATAAACAGAGACACATGAATTATGTATCATACCTCCATCATTGTCCAGGTTATCTCCACACACCATTTCCATGACAACGTTACATCCTGAGCCACTCCAGCCCACTTGACAAACACAGTGCCATCCATTCTGATCAAGAGTGCACCTCCCATTTCCATAACAGAGACCTGGGCAGCCATCTAGAAATGTAAAAAGAAGCCTTCATGGAGGAGTTGTCTTCTCTTCTTTTACAGTTGTAATTATTCTTTAACATTCTTTCATATAGTATTATACTTGCTGCCTTCAAATGATCATTGCTCCCTTGCAAGCCATTTATATTTTTGGCCAAATATGGAAAAATTCCCATCCTGGTCCCTCCCATTGCTTGTCCAGAAGTAATTTCTCAGTGACAAATGAGGATTTTTTAGTGTGTAATATTTTATGCGCAGGAAAAAAAGTGAGTAAATTTATAAGAAGATATTTAACAGTCTGCCATGTCCCTCTCTCTCTCTACATATTGAAAAATAAGTTGTAGATCACAAAGGAAAGTATATACATAACCAACATTTATATCAAAGATATACATGGAAAACATTGTTTAAATGACAAACTGGCATTTGTGGACATAATCCTACACGTTGCAGGAAGTGGAGGTGATCTTTTTAAATCTGTTCATAAATAGGCAGCTGACTGAGAAAAAGCCAATTTGATTTATGCTACAATACAACTCTTTCCACAGAAGGCAAATGAGGGAGCATTTCCTTCCAATGTCCAGTTCCACTTCCTTCACATTATAGCCGATTCAAGTATGACAAACACTTGCCCTTTAGCGGCTCTGATTCTAGACCAAAACTGGAACAATGACTGTAGCATCCTCTGGATTATATAATTGTAAGCTCTGAATCAACTGTAATTTGGACCTTCTCAGCTAGATCTCTTGCCTGTAAGAGTGAGAGAGGAATTGTCTCTTGGATGTGAACACTCACGTCCATCTGCTTGCACAGTTTAGTGCCAGCTCAGACATTTGTCAAATCCTCACCATGTCACACATGGAGCCAAAGGACAATGGATAAAGCTCAGCAATAAGCTTAACAGCGCAAATGGCATCCCTTCTAAGGGGGCTCCTTTCTTTTTGCCAGCATGGACCTACCAGACCTGAAAGCCCTTCGGTACTTGTTAGTGAACATTAACACTCAGTGTTACCAGAGAGAATTTTTTTTTGAGGAAGAAAGAGGAGGACCCAGTCTGCATATGTGTTTGGCAGCCCCCAGATGCTCCAAAAGGATTTTGGAGGAGCCAACCAGAGAGTCAGGGAATCTATACGACCGGTCTGTGAGGTTGTGACCTACAGCCCAGCACACACCACATTTCCTGGCAACTTCACACTAGACACATCACCTCTCCTCACCCTTGGCACAGTTTATCAATCACATCTGCAAACAGGAGGGTTAGGACAATCTGACCACACTGGAATTCTGGAAGTCGCTGCTCTAGAATAGCATGAGGTTGGCAACCACCAGATACATTATAAAAGCCAATTATTTGCTTCTTTCAGGGAGCTGGGGGAAAGGGCAGGATGTGAGAGCTGTTGTGGGTAATGGGGATGTTTTTCCACTTCAATTCACTGTCCTGCTGAGTTAATTTATTTCTTGTATGTGATTATATTTTGCTGCTGTCTGTGGTCACCCTCGAAGACTATAAATGAAATCAAATGAATGCCTACTTCATTTTATTATTATCTAATTCTGGAGAAATAATAAATACAAAATAAACACCTAGGTCTTTCTGGAATATTGGTTAGTTTGATATTTCAGCTAGCAGCATTTTTGCAAGGGGCAACGTGCATCATTGCTCCGCACAGCATAGCTAGAACTGAGGGACTGCTGTCAAACTTGGGGAAGGTACTTGTGCTGACATGGATAAGCAGGACCTGCGGCAAGGCACGGAAATCAAATGAACAGTTGCAGACACAAAACAACATAAAATTTAACTCTTATATCAAATGATTTGAAGAGAATTATATCACATCCAGCATAGACAGCTTTTAAGAAAGTGTACTTCTCTATCAAAAGAAACTTACTTTGAGCACAAATGACAGAAAAACAAAAAAAAGAAAATTTTTGTTCTCATGGAAGACAGGATCAACACAAAGTTTTTTGAGCAAATCCTCAGCTCTGTCATTCCTTTGGAATGGTAAGCGAGAGCGCAAAACTGATTTGCCTAACATAGCACATCAAACGGCCACATAAAACATGCTTACATCGCTACAACTTCGCAAATGAGCACATTATTGGTTAAAAACTGCATTTTCTTCTGTAAATCTCTCTGTCTGTCTCTGTGTGTGTATATATATCTATATATCTACATCTCCACAAACAAATGTTTTATCTATTCTTGCAACTTAGCAATACAGAAGCTCAGACAAAACAGGTAACACAAAAGACTCCATTCCCAATACTTTTGTATCTTTTCATTATTCTTTCGCAATGCTGATACGAAAATCTTACCTTGAACAGCATCTAAGTAGTGAGCTTAAAAAAGAAAAGAACACAACTGAGATGGATTGAACTTCTGTACCCAAATGAAAAATAGACACCATTTGCTTATGGCTTGCCACCTGTTGGTTAGAACTAAAGTGTCTCCCTCTCACTGCAGTCAGATCTATTCCTGCTACTGTGATCAAAACGCACCGCGTGTGTGATTGCTCTCCATTTGATGACAAGCACGCAGAGGACAGCTTGGGCCATACCTGGTACTGCCTACAATGTGAAGAGCAGCTCTATTTATCTTTTTAATTATTTTGGTCCTTTTCTGGATTTGCTCTATACAATCTTCAGAAAATTAGGCTGTTCCTCCTTCCCAAACCTAATTCTTGATTTAGCAAATCTGATTTAGTAAATTCCAGAGCCAGTGAACGAATTATCTTAAAATGATCAAGACAAAGATAAAACATTCTACTTTTTTTCAAGAAGCAAGCATGAGAACTTACGCTGCTTACCTCTGACAATTAGATACAACAATTAAAATGCTTATTACAACAATTAAAATGTTTATTACAAACAATTAAAATGTTTATGAATAACCTTGCTTTGGGACATTTTAGGGAGAAACACTATTAGACTTTTTGCAAAAGCCTGCTGTATTTATTAAAAATGTAACTATCACATTTGTATAGTTCAGTAATGACTTCCAAAAAGACCTGAAAGCTTTACCTTATTGGGAATATTGTTAGAAGCCAGCTATAGAAAAAACACCCCTACTAATAAGTAAAATATGTAAATCCTCAGACATGAAGGCAACAGATGTAATGCAAGAATTACTTAAGCTGAATAATAGCTTCGTCCCCTCGCACCTTCTATTTCTAAACATTTTTTTCCTTCCTCACTCAAAGTTCATATATGAACACAACCCAAAGACATGTTAAGATCGAGATATCTTTCTTCTGTGTGGTGTTTTTTTTTTTAAATTTAATTCATTCATCAACGTTATTTCCTCTAAACAGAAAGCTGCACTGAGTCACTATTCTGTGCAACAAGCAGGGTACACCATCAGAGCAGAGGTAACTTCTTATACCTGGCCCGATTCTGGATCTCTGTTTCTCCAAAATTACTTCAATTAGACTGATGGCTATGGCAGATCTTTGTATAACTGGTTAAGATTTTATGTGTTTTATTTCTCGAGGTACAAAAACCCCCTTACCAATGGTGCAGTGGTCCCCTTCCCATCCAGGGCTGCACTCACACTTCCCGTCCTTGCACTGGCCGTGCTCAGCACAGTGAGAGTGGCAGGTACGTTCTTCACAGGTGGGTCCCACCCAGCCCTCTTCACACTGGCATATCCCTCTTGAACAGACACCGTGGCTGCCACAGTCCAGGGTACACAGCTCTGCACAGGATTACAAAAATACATAATGTGAAACAGCAGTTTCATACTGCAAATAGACTTTGCAGTAATATCAAACTTAATCACTTCTATGCTAATATCACTCATCAATTGGATCAAACATGGGATTTCATGACCTGGCACAGACCTTACACAATCTGGCTGCCTTCTCCTTTGGTAGTTACTTGCAAGATCATTTATTTGTTTGGGGTGGGGACTGCAAATGATGGCTTTGCATATGGTAGGGTAATGGGTCTAAAACAAACTGACACGAGAAAGTCCATATTTTTTGACTGATTTCAGCTGAGGCCTTTAATAACAGCATGTCAGGGCAGTTCCCAGGTCCCATTGGCTCAGAATCTATTATAAACTCAGATATTTCAAAGTGAGACAAATTAAAGGATAAAGTGACACCTTAAACACATACAGCAAAACAGTCTTGGAGATATTCAGATGTTTGTATTGATGGCAAAAATGGCCTTCACTTACAGTAAGAAGAGCCACCAGAAAGGTAACAGTGAGAAAGAAGACAAGCAAGCACCCCACTCTGGCAGTACACAATATTACAGGACTTGATGATCTTTGAGGTCTCTTCCAACCATAATGATTCTATGATTCTGATTCTATGACTTACGGGCCACGCAGATCTGCCTTGTTCTAAAATGGCTTCCAAGGATTAAAAGTTTTTTTTTCCTTCCTGACTTTCATGAGTCAACTGCTAAGAAACCAGAAAAGTTGTTTTGGGAAGACAGGAATAGCTCCTTCATTGCACTCAGAACAATTTCTCTACCTGGGCATTGTAGAACACCACTTATTGTGAAGTGGAATGAAAGTCTTGAATTGCTTCAATACATCACAATATGCCAATTGCAATTCTACTTCCACTTAGACTAAAGTTGTTCTGTGAAAAGAATGACTTCATTATAAAAAGGTTCCATGTACTTTGAATTTATTTAGAATAATTAGTGTCAAGAGACAGAATTTGATTGTTATTCTGCAATTAACCTGCCACAGAAATGTTTCTTCCTTCTTCCTCTTGGAAAGCAGCTGATAGCACTACAAGTGTAAGCCAAATAATTGTGTCTGCTCTGATTTCAAATGTCAGCGTTACATATTTAGTTGTTGCAAGATTTTTCCCTTGACAGATTTTAAACAATGATCATTTATATCTTGGAACTATTGTATATAAACAGTCTTAAAAGCATTTGTAGTGACAAATGCTGTCACTGTATATACCAAGCAAAGTTTTTAAAGTTTAAATTGAAATCTTATCAACTTGAATCATTTTAACACAAAAAAGCAGCACAGAAATGGAACTGCACAGTGACATTGCAGGTGTGTTGGGCTCTGTCTCGAGTTAGAGCCTAGCCCTTATTTTCATTAATATCCAGGGTGATGGCACAGAGTGCAATCCAAAGAATCGGTCAGTGACAAACTGGAAAAGCATAGTCCAACTCAGAAGCACCTTCCAAAGCAGAAGGCATGTTAAAGAACCTAAGATAAAATTCAGTAAAAGTAACTGTGGAGTACTGTCCTAAGGAAGTCAAAATCAACTACATAAAAAATAATTAATTTTACTATTCAGACAGGGACTTGTGTTATACTGGAGTACAAGATAATTATCTGCTGATATTCCTGCAAAAGAGTATGGAAGTCAAGGAAGGAGACGGCTCTGCTATATTCGAACGAAAAACTGTGCTGAGCCTAGGGCACTATCCCTTAGAAAGACTTGATTGCTGCCTGCTGATCATGTATTAATCTAACGCTTCATAGCTTGGACTGCCTGTCTGCAGGTACTGGGAAGGATTTTGTACCCCTTGCTGCATAATTTGGCTTGGCTTTTTTGTTTTGTCACTCACTTGTTTGTTCCTTAGAAACCTGGGTGACCGCTCGGAGGACTACAGGGGGGACTTGCTCTGTTATTTCATTGGTACTGAAGTCACTCAAATACTTGCTCCTACGATCAGGAAGTAAACTGATCCCACCGGATCTAGGATCACAAAAGAATCACTCCCAGGTGAGACTGGCAGAGGATCACTGGTATTATTTTAACCTACCCTTATAGCTTAGGGCATGGGCTAACTCCTGAGAATTAAATCTAAACAAATTACCTGCTACTTCAAGGATTTAGGCTGCTAGAGGGATGCCTTTGATCTCTCCTGATCTCCCTCTAGTTCATTATAATTATTGCTTTTGGTATTTTACTGTAAGTGGCAAAGATTGTTAAGAGGATTTTAAGAAATATTTTGTAGTTTGCACTATGCTGGGGTAAGTGGGGGAGATTGGGTTTTTGACCCTTCTGGATTGAGTGTCTACTACACAGTTTTTGCAGTTGTGGGGCTGTCTTAGTTCAACTGATGCCAAAACTTCAGGAAATATTGTAGGCATCAGTATATAGAAGAGGCAATGTAGGCTGGAATGGCTGAAGGAGGGAAACAAAGTGATACAGATCTTCCGTTCATGTCAGCATCTCTAGCGGCTCCTACCACTTCTCTGTCTGTAAATAAATCAAAGAACCAGCTGTGGAAACCCTTGAACACATTCCCACACATGGCATGCATGCCTTCCTCACCTCTGTCTGTCTACCCGCCAGAGTCTAATCATGACAAATTCATCTTCCAAACAAACAAAAGAAATAGCAGCATGGAGCTGAAGGCCATGAAAGCACATCCCTACCACAGGGACATAGATCTTGCACATAATCCTACTTTACAACCCCCAAATTAAACAGATCTTAAACTGTTTGAAAGTTTTCCATTGTTTTCCCCATGTTTCACACAAGGAATACAATGTTTAAACACTATTTAAGCTCTTAAATTCAATCAGATTGATGAAGTGGAGATAAAAGATTTCCTATCTCATCAAAAAGTATCCTATGCCAGTCAGTATACAGTCTTCACTCACAAGACTCCTTTTTTAAATTCTATTTTCCCACATAAGATCCTACCCAGCTAAACAAATCTTTCTTCATTTTTTGCCTATTGGAATACAGTGGCTTCCTCTATCCCAACCACACTGTCTTGGAAAAACAACACAGCAGCACAAATTCTAGACCTCAAACTGTCTCGGTGTGATAGGAAATGTTAGCTTAGTCGTCCTGCACCCAGTTATTCAGTTTTCACACCTTATTTCTGTCAGCAAGTTAGAGCACAGTAACCAAATACCAGTAACTGAGTAGAAAGCGCTATGAAAAAAGCACGTGTCAAACTTGTTCCGGCAAAGGAATGCCAGAACGATCTTTTCTAGCTCTTGCCTTTCCTTCTAGTAATGCATTTTTTTTCCCCAAATATTTAACCTAAATCTTCTTTGATGCAAATCAAAACCAATTCTGTAAGCACTAGACGTAATGAAACCTTGTTTCTTCGTTTGGACCAGACTTTCCTCAGTTACCCTAGTTGTCCTGCTGCTTAGCCAACTCATACTTTATGGTCACTGAGGCCAATCTTGAGACTTACATCTGTTTCAGTGATTTAATATGAGGCTTCAGAAATGCTCTTTACCATGATAATGTATTCTTCTGCTATGCAAATCCAAGATTCTCCCCAGACTTCTCATGCAAAGCAAGGGAAATTGAGCCTAACGTCATCCTATTAATGCTGTGGTAGTACCTGCAGCTTTAACCCACAGCTAATTCAAACAACTAAGATTAAAAAAAGCATTATCAGTTCAGGTTGTCCTGTTTTTAAATGCAAAACAATTTCTTAGCTCCTCCTGCAGATAAACAAGTACAGAAATATCAGCATAGCAGGGAGCCACATTAGCATTTGTGTTTGTATCAAGAGACTGGGTTTCCACAGCAGACTAGACAAAATGAGACACTCGAGTGAGTGGACAGTGACTGAATGCAATGGGAAACAATATAGCAACTTGAAATAGGTAAATAGCTTCAAACAAAGTTGATGTGGTAAAAATTCAGACAGCACTGAAGTCAGACAGCAAGTCAGACATCATGCAACTGTTCTGCTCAACTGAGCATCTTCCTCTTTCCATAGCAGTTGGTCCTACAGGACTCAGACACACCCCAAAATGCAGTGGGTGCTCCAAAAGGGGCCAGCAGATCGGGGCCAGGGCTCTGAGCTCTGGGCAGGGGCAGCAGCTGAGGCAGCCAAAGATGTCTCCTCTGATTGAAACAGCTATTCCAGCCCCCCTCCTCACTCATCCATTGTCTGGCTCTGTGGTCCCTGACTGCAGCTTATCATCTGAAACCGTGGTGAGCTGATTCAGATCATGAAACTGGCAGATAATTATTCACTTTATTTTCCTGGGTTAATACCTGACAGCTTGCTAAGCTAAATCAGCCCACTGAGGGATCAAAGAAGCAACACAGGCAGGGCAAGGGAGGAGATGCAGATCACAGCCTGGACTGGGACTGTCCTGCTGAGGAGCCACAAGCTGTGCCATCGGCTGACTGCAAAGGACAAGGTAAGGGAGGGGTGACTTATGTAAGGTAACAAAGGAAGCAGGTGACAAGAGGTATAGTTTGGATTAGTCGACTCAGAGGTATTACATCACAAGCCTTTAGTTGTGCTGTCAATCATTCTCACAATGTACAGTGCAACACACATTTCATTAAGTCCCTCAAGTGTGTTGGTGTTTAGGCTCGTAGGCTTACACAAAAGCCATCTCTTCTCTCCCACTCCTCTTTGCCCCTGTTTAGAGGGATACCCACCTGCCCAGCTCGCCTGCCTGGCCTCTAGGCAGATCTTGTGGAGTGTGCTTGGTTGAAGGCTGGTCTGTGGCTAAGAGACCAGATCCTCAGTAGGTGTGAATTTTCATGGCTCCCACGAAACCAATAGAGTCACGCTAATTCACAGTAATTCATGGCCCTGTTTCAGTTTTTGTCCCTGTATACTTTGCAATCAAAACAAGGTTCTCTAAGTGTCAGGCCGGAAAGTTAATTTCACTATTTAAAAAAAGCTCAGCTGTGCAGACTCACTGCAAGCAATGTGCTGACAAATTGCTGGGAGCTAGCCCCAACCAACCCCTGCAGTTTCTTACAGACT